TCATCTTCTCTCTCTTCCTCTTTCTTCTCCTCCTTGCTATGCACGGCTTTCTCCACATATTCTCTCTCTTCCTCTTTCTTCTCCATCTCTTGCTCTTCCTCTTTCTTCTCATCTTCTCTCTCTTATCACTCATATCATTAGAATCAACACTCTTTCTTCTTTTCCTCAGTGCATACCCTTTATGCCTATCACTTTGTGACATAAGTTCCCTCACATTTTTCTTCAGGTCTTCGGGGTCAATCAAGTCTTCGACCCCTTCATAGCGCTCCAATTTATTGTTCAACCTATGTATCTCCTGGGAGCAAGCATCACATTGAAGGCGCTTGCTACGCTTGACAGCGTGGAGCGCTTTCTAATTTATATTGGCCGTATTCCTCCAAAAATGAATTTGCTCTACAGGCGTCAACTTATCTATTTCATCTTCTCTTGAAAAAGCATCAACGATATGCTGGGACAAAATCTGTAAAGTACACCATATACCCTTTACCCTTGTAAATCCACAAGATTAAGCAGAATAGTTATGAAAACCCTTAAAAGAAAGTTAACATGAAACAATGCAAATTGAAAATGAATTAATGATAACGATAAAATATTTAACTCAATGTAAATATGATGTGATGTGTAAAGAGTCATTGCTGCTTACGTAACCCACAGATGAGCTCTTTGGTCTGCCCATCACCTTCTCTTGCTTCCCAGCCTTCTTCTTTTCTTCCTCGTTCATCTTTCTCGGCCTAGTTTGCTCTTTGGTCAGCCCATTACTCCTTTTCTTCTCTTGCTTCCCGGACGCTAGGCTTCTATTTTTCCCAAATCGAGTGAATTCAATCTTCTTCCTGCTGGGCTCCCTTTGAGAGTATTTTTCACCCCATCCAATGCTGAGTGAAATTGGTTTCTCCTCAAGTTTTATGCTTGCTTTCTTGGCCTTAGAGACGATTGTCTCCATCCTCAGCGATCCAGCCGTCCCTCCGACCCTTACCCAGTTGGTCATCGGAGGCTTCCACCTCAAGTTTAGGGCTGGTTTTTTAATGCCAGTCATCTCAAAGTACCAAAGCTGTCAGAATAGAAGGATCAATTGTCAAAATAATTAACTTGTATAACTCTTTCTTGAACTACAACATACTAAATAGCTAGCCTTCACTTCACTAACCCATGTTAACATTACTGGGTACATGTTACCTTTCACTTATTAATGTTAACTTTAATTTTTATATGTTAAAGTTTATGTTAACATGTTAACTTTCACCTATTAATGTTAACTTTTACTTTTATATGTCAAACTTCATGTTAACATGTTGATTTTAACATGTTAACCTATTAACGTCCAATGTTGTACATGTTTTCTAATGCCTGTTACCATGACTCCTATTAACTAGATCAAATGTAACATACAGGGATGAGCGGCATGCATCCAGGTACGTATGTAACCCCTGGCTTCCTCATCCCTTGAACAACAATTTGAATGTCTCTCTTCGTCTCATCAAAAATAAATTTACCCCACGCAATGGTCTTCACTCTCTCGATACTATCTACATATTGAAACAATTGTCTTGGGATGCCTTGAGAGCTGTTGGGGCACCAAATCGTTGCACATTGGTACAATATCTGAAGCAACACAAAATCCTCAATGTCCTTATTATCAGAGGACTCAACAAGTGTTTCCAGCAACTCCTCGACATATCTCATCATGCTACCAGCTTCTGGTGTAGCCTTGGCCTTTAGCATTTCTTTCTTATCTTCAAAGTATTGCCTCCAAAGTCGGTTGTGAGAGTTTCTATTCCCGTAGATCAGCTCCCCATCAATGGGAAAGCCTGTGTGAGTATGCACCCACTCTTCATCAAATTTCACTGAAAATATAGAACTGCTCTTGGGGTTGGGAAAAGAGAACTCATCAGTTTCGCCAGTATAATGGCTGAGCACATACTCTAGTGCCCGTCGATCGCGTGCTGGGGGACCAAAGAACACATAGTGCTCAAAGTTACAGCCCTTGTAGGCATCCCAATGCCACTTCTTCAGTTTTGGTTGCAGTTTTTGCATGAAGGAACAATATGTTCCAAGACAGGCACTGGGCCTAATATCACCTAAAGCAGCAACTATCCTGGATGAACAACAGTTTACTCTTAACAAGTGGTTCAACTTTAAATTACGTAACAATCAACAGTAAAGGCATTAACATAGTCAAAATCACGTTTTATTAACATGATTAGCTAAAAGTTGACTCTTAAGAGTAAACGTTAACAACAAACACAGATTATTGACATGCATTGCTACTAGCTATCAACAATTGAGAATTGTTTACATGCATTTCTTCCAACCCACAATTAAAATCAATTGATTGGGAACTTACTTCTTCTTTGAGATGGACACATCCTCCCGCGAGCGTCTCCTCTTGCGCTCTCGATTTTCCTGAGTTTTCATGCTCAATAGGGTTTCCATCGCCTCGTTACTCTCCTCATCATTAGAGGATGGCGGAACAGAATCACTGGCGTGAGATATCAAGGCGGAGGTGGAGGGGGATAAGTTTCGTAGTTCCTCCTGCGCAAGTCGTGCCGACAGACGCCGGGGTCGAACGTCCGCTTCCGTTTGAATCTGGTCTACTTCACCCTTGCGTCGTTTAGGGTTATTAGTCATTTCTCTTATAATTTTCTTCGCCATTTTCCTTGTGGATTTCTTCGGCATTTTCTCTTATAATTCTCGTCTAGGGTTTTCAAATTGGGTTCGCAAGGTGAAGGAGGTTCGAGTTTTGGGGATATTTGTGGGTCTGCAGAGAAAAGAGCGAGAGCGAGAGAACGAGAGAAAGAGGGAGGACGGATTTGGGGACGAACAGTTACAAGGGTAAATTCGTCTTTACAGAGGAACTGTGCTCTCAAAGTTGTCTGGGAAATGACAAAGGGGCTGAAACTTTAATGAGTTGGGTATTTGGGGCTTGATCACACCAAAAAAATACAATGGGCTGGGCCACAACCGGTTCTTTTTTTGGGGGCCTTAAAACAATTTTCCCAATAGTCAAAGTTAGGTATAAAACAATTTTATATCCTGAAAAAAGTCACTCTACTAAGAAAAATATACATATTAGCATGAAATATATCAATTAGTCATTTCATAGTTTGCTAACTTTGACAATCCAGGACATAAACATATAGAATATAAATTTATATATTGAAAAAATTATAATAATTAAGATCCATGATAAATGGTATATAATCTTTCGTTAAGAGTTTATTTGCCTCATGAGACATCATATTATAGGGGAAATTATTAGATTATTAGATTGTGTAGGTTATAAACATTAGAATATTATCTTGTGAATTTGTGCAAATTATAAGATGACAACATAGGATTGCGGTGAGACTGAAATTATTTGCATAGAAGTTATATTTTTTCATAAAAGGATTTTGACCTTTATGTACTATTGTCAATTGGACTTAATGTGAATTGACCATATAATTTTGACTTCGGTCGTGATAATTTTAATACTTTTGATTAACTATATAGGTATATAGACAATAACTGGTTTTACTTTTTCCCATGAAATAAAAATATTTCACAATCGATTTATGTAAGAAAATAGACCTACAAAACAATAATGTCATTTAACAACGTGCAATGCACGGGCATCCAATCTAGTCATTGACTAAGAGCTTCGGAGGCGTTTTGACCAGGACACTACTCCAACCTCTAGCTAGCAAGATTTTAGGACTCAGGTGTTTTGCCGATGTTGATCTGGATAGCCTCTAGTTGCAAGTTTAAACTATTTTAATTCAATCTTCATCAAGGTCTGAATCATCTATATATATGTTCAAGTTTCTAGATCTTTAATGTCATGGAGAGCCATATGACGATGGGCTACAATTCTCAAGTTTCTTGTACCAACAACTACAGTCATAAAAGTGTTCCTAGGAAGCAAAATAATTAGTTTAAAATTAAGTACACACATCAAACATCATGAATTCACAATGACCAATCTATCGTACTTCTCAACTTAAATCGTTAGATAATTACTCTATATTTGATGCCCATCTAAACTAAACTTCAACGTATATTAGCTGTGACGATTTTCTTTCAGTTTTATTTGGGGTTAACTGAACTTAAATGCCCCCTAGTTTCCCTACTTTGCACCTATATACCCTCAATTATTTTTGACGGTATTCATGTACCCTAAAGTTTTTAAAATTTACACTTTAATACTCTCAATTATGCAAATATGAGAATTTAGCTCCGAAATTCTCATGCAACATTCGCATACTAAATTTAATTTTTTATTATCTTTTAACATTTTGTTAAATTTACTGTTAAACCTATCATAATCCTATTTCAAAATAAAATTAAGATAATTTAAAAATAGAATTATGGATAGTTTTAACCGTAAAATTTAACAAAATATAAGGTTTGGAAGCTCTAATGTCAGTGTTGCATGAGACTTTTAGGGAGGAATTCTTGTATTTGCGTACCTGAATTGTTTAAATGCAAAATTAAAAATTTCAGGGTATAAAAATGCTGTAAATAGTAAGTAAAGACGTATAAGTGCCTTTTTATTTTCTTGACCTTGTTCCACTATCCGTTTACTTAATCGTACCCACTGTTCAAACACAGCACACATCATCCAATGGTCTATTGCCACGTACCACGCAAGGTAAAGTTATCCTACCTGCAAGATCACTGTACCACTTCGGGCCCCACTTCAACATTCCCACGCGTAGCTCAGCCGGTCCCACTCTCCATATGATTACCGAACCTCACTAGTCAACTAACTCAACTCCCAATGAGATCACACCACGTGTACCACAACCGGCACGCGCCAGTTTCGAGAGGACAGGTGCCAGTTGCGAGGGACAGGACGGTCGCGTCAGCTCCCTACTGGAGCCTTCAACAGAGATGAGATTGGCACGTGCGATCTAACGCGAAGGTGCGAGAGGAAGAGCTCCAAGTTCAATCAAGTGGGATTAATTCAATGCTTAACACAAAGCTTTGGGCTTTATTTAAACCCCTCTCAGCTCCTTTTGTCTTCTCAAAAGAGAGAGCGAGCGAGAGAGAGCGCCTCCCCTCAAAACAGACCCACCCATCTGTGAGGCTGAGAGACCCTTCACTGAAATGAACAGCTCAAAGGTTTGTGTTCTAATCCCTTCTCTTTAATAATATATAAATAAAAAAAAATCCTCAATTTTTGCTTCTTTTTTTCTCCTCCTTTTTTTTTTTCGTTTATTTGACCAGAAATAGAGAGATCGAGATCCTATTTTTATCTGGGTTCTTTGATCCTCTCTCGAGGGGTTATTTTTCTACACCCTCAGCTTGTTTTCCCCCCTCCCTTCTTCTTCTTCTTTTTTTCTAGATGGAAAGAGGCTACTTCTTTTTTGTGTAATCTCTTTCTTATATCTAAACTTTTAAGCGCTTAATTTGCCTGGTTCTTTGATTTTATTTAAGAACAAGGTGGTTTTTTTCTTCTCTCTTTATTTTTATTTTTATTTTATAAGTCATGGCCACAGCTATTGATATGTACAAAAGAAATAGAAATAGGACTAGTAGTAGCTCGGTAGATCCTCTCAATGGGGAGCTCATGAACGCACTCCAACCTTTTATCAAAAGTGCTTCAAACTCCTCTTCCTCCTCTTCTTCCTCGGTTCCTCAAATCCCCTCTTTTCCTACTTACCCATCTCAAAATCCCAACTTTGGGTACATCTCTTTTGATCAGAGTCCCAACTTTTATCATCAAAATCAAACCTTTCACCTCTCCACCGGCCAGTTTGCTCTCCCCAATCTAAGCCCAGATCAAATCCACCAAATTCAAGCCCAGTTCCAGTCCCAGCAGCAGCAGCAACATCATCATCTCTATGCACCAAATCATGACCACCTCCACACCCAAAGGAGGCTCCTCGGGCCAAAATCTCAGCCCATGAAGCCCCTCCTCCCTCCGAAGCCCACGAAGCTGTATCGTGGGGTCCGGCAGCGGCATT